CTAATCAGAGATGCTTTGCTGATTCTTGCTGATTTGTTTTATTTGTATTTCTTTATTTTATGTTGCTGAATTGCATTGACATGTGTGTTCCTTCTGGTGCACAACCCAGAAGCTTTTGTGATTCTTTGCAGCAAAAATTACTGACCTCTGGCTTTGCTCCACTTTTCAAACGTGCTGGCACAGCCACGTTCTAGGTGCTGGCCCCACAGGTCCACCCCATTGAGCCAGCTGCATTGGAGGGACCTGCCCCAAGCAAGTCCGAGTGGAGCAGTGCACCAAATCAATGGGGTGAGCCTGGGAGAGGGAAAGAGAGAGAGAGAAAAGAAAGAGAGAAAGAGAGAAGGAAGAGAAAAGAGAAAGAAAGAAAAAGGGACAAAGAAAGGGGTGATGGAGGGATAGAGGGGGGAGAGGGAGAGAGAGAGAGACCTGATGCATCAGATTGAAATGAGGCCTAGTTTAGAGGCCCTTTTCCACATTGAAACATCTTTGCCAGCATCTTTGCCAGCATATTGAAACATCTTTGGCATCTATTAATTAAAGGTTTTGTGGACGAAACATGGCCAAGACTATCAGGAAGCTCTCACATTTTGTTGAGACTTTAAACAGGATCCATTGGACCAGATCTCCACCCTAAAAAATTACTTTTCCCCAATGAATTATAGTGCCAATTCTGAAGAAGGCAAAACCAAAATGTACTGGTAAATTACGAGAACACACACACATACACACACACTCCCTTCTAACCCTGCTGGAGCAGGTGACTGGACTAGAATAGATATCTCATTATCTTTCTCCTCCCTTCCTCCCTCCCTCCTTATTTCTTTTTCTTTCTGCCCCTTTCTTCCATCCCCCCTTTCTTTGTACCTTTTTCTTTCTCTCCCTTTTCTCTATCTCTTCTTCCTTCTTTCGTTCTCTCTCTTTCTCTTTCCTCTCTCAGGCTCACCCCATTGACTTCGTGCACCGCACCATTCAGACTTGCTTGGGCAGGGGCATCTGGTGCAAGGGGCTCAATGGGGTGAACCTCATGGCCATGCCCCGAACGCGGCAGCTGGCTTTGCTCTCCTTTCCCAATGCTGCGTTCAAGGTGAGGCCCCACAGGATCACCCTGTTGAACCTTTTGCACTGGAGTGTGCAAGTCAATGAGGTGATCCTGGGGGCCTCGCCCCGAACACGGCAGCGGCGGGATGTTTGAAAAGGAGAGCAAAGCCACTCTGGTTTTGCTCTCCTTTCCCAAAGCTGAGTTTGGGGTGAGGCCCTGCAGGATCACCCCATTGAGCTCCTTGCACCAGAGTGTGGGGGATTTTTTTCTCACCCCTGAATTGTGCCCTGCTGCTCACCTCCAGCGCCCCCTGCTGCCTCTTAGTGCCCCCTGCCATCCCCCTTGCCTCTCAGTGCCCCCCTAAGGCATCCCACCCTCCCCAGGGGGCGGTACCACCCACTTTGGGAATCACTGAACTAATGCTTGATAAGAGAAGCTAAATGTCAAAGTGTACATTGGGTGTGTCAAGAAAACAAAGCAGGACATTGTTTGCAAGGGGACTGGGATATCTATATATAATATAGGAAATCTGTGGGGATGATCAAGGGACGTAAATGAGGGTGGGCTGAATCCAAAGCGAGTGACCAATTTGGAAGAGGTTATGGTGACATGGTTTATGTAAATACAGAGCAGGGTTTCTCAGCTTGGGGCAGGGATGCTGGCTGGAGAATTCTGGGAGTTGAAGTCCACCCGTCTTAAAGGTCCTAAGGTTGAGAAACACTGATATGGAGAGTATAAATGAGGACTGAATTGCACAACAAATATTTGAAGGCAAAGTGAATTGTGTTTATTATGGATTGTAATTCACAAGGGTTTATGACACGTTCAAGAGCTGGGTTTGTCGGTGGTGATAAGCAAATTACTTATCAGAAATTACTAGATAAGCTGAGCACTTGAGAGCCAAACTTGGAAGAGACTTATTCTGGTTTACCTCCCAGATTAACTGAATCCAGTTAATCTAAGTTATATATGAGTTGGGGCTTCTAGCGAGAACCCCAGAAGTTGCTAAATGACAAGTAGTCCTTGACTTACATATACAATTGAGCCACTCGTTTCTGTTGCTAAGTGAGACATTTGTTAAGTGAATTTTCCCCCGCCTTTCATTGTTAAGTGAATCACTGTGGTTGTTAAGTGAGTAACACAGTTGTGAAGTGAATCTGGATCTCCCATTGACTTTGCTTGTCAGAACATTGCAAAGGGGAGTCACGTGACCCCGGGACACTGCAACCGTCATAAATACGACTCAGTTGCCAAGCGTCTGAATTTTTGATCATGGGAATGGCGCAAGGCTCCTAAAGTGTGAGAAACGGTCATAAGTTACTTTTTCAGTGCTGTTATAACTTCGAATGGTCACTAAGCAAACTAAATGAGGCCTATCTGTAGAACTCCCAATGGTTCCAGCAGGTATGGCCAATGATGAGGAATTCTGGGAAATGGAGTTCAGTAGCTCTTTCAGGTTGCCATTTTGCTTGCTTTATGTACATTGTAATAGAATAGAATAGAGCTGGAAGGGACTTTGGAGGTCTTCTAGTCAGCCCCCTGCTCAAGCAGGAGAACTTATACCAGGAGTGTCAAACTCAAGACCTGTATGCGGATTCAGCCCATGGGGTGCTTCAATCCGGCCTGCAAAAAGCGTGTGATCCTCCCAAGCTCCGTTTTTGCTGGCAGATGGTTGCAGGAGGTGTTGCAGATGAAAACGCAGCTTGGGAGAACGCTCGGGCTGCCACAGGCTCCCCCCTAATGCAAATGACATCAAGTTGGCCACACCCTCTCTGGTCCCCTGAGGTAAAACACAACCCTGATGCGGCCCTCGATGAAATTGAGTTTTGATACCCTTGCCCTATACCATTTCACATATTCAGATAATACTATCTGTACAACTTTTTTCTTCTTCTATTTATAGCCTGTACAACTTTTTTTTCCTTCTTCTACGCAGAAGTAGCCCTCCCGAGCTCCTTTTTTGCTGGCAGAGGGTTGCAGGAGGCCATCGCAGACAAAAATGAAGCTCAGGAGTCTGTTTTCTCTGGCAGAGTGCTCGGGCCACCACAGGTGCCCCTGACACAAGTGACATCGAGGTGGCCACGCCCACCCTGGCCACACCCACTATGGTCCCCTGAGGTAAAACATAACCCTGATGTGGCCCTCAATGAAATTGAGTTTTGACACCCTTGCCCTATACCATTTCAGATAATACTATCTGTACAACGTTTTTCTTCTTCTATTTATAGCCTGCCCTTGATCTATCGATTTGTGTGGTGGTTGCCAAGTCTTGCTTTGCACATTGATTTCCAGAGGGAACTCGCAGGATGCAAGTAGTCCTCGACTTACGATCACAACGGAAGCCAAAATTTCCATTGTTAAGCGAGACACTGGTTCAGTGAGGTTTTGCATGTCCCCACTCTCCCCTGCACACATGTCCCCATGCCCCCCACACATGTGTCACCCCACTGTGCTCTCTTTGGGGCCTAATAGGCCTCCCTATAGCCTCCTGGGAGCAAAACCGGGGTACAAGGGGGTGCAGTGTGCCACACCTCATCTGCACTGCCCCTACCCCTGGGCATGCACAGCAGAGACCCAAAAATCAACTTGGTGGGAGGCGGGAGGCATGCATGCATGCGCGGTGGAGCTGAGCTGGGGTGACAATTCACATGCCCACAGAGAGGGCACACGTGCCATAGGTTCGCCATCATGGATATGGGCTTTCCTTTCTGAGCTGGGGGTTGGACTAGAAGACCCCCAAGGTCCTTCCCAACTCTGCTTTTCTGTTATTCTGTTCATTTATAGTTTGCCTTTCCTGCTGGTAGCCTGTTTAATGTTCCTTTCTCTGATTTTTCTTCCCAACAACAACCCTGTGAGGAAGCTCGTGGAGAGGCAACAACTGACCCAAAGTCGGTGTTTTAGAGCTGAGACGAGTCTTGCAGAGCTGGCTGTCTTATTCTCATTTTTTTAAAGCCTGCAAATGAAAAGGAATTGATCCTATGGAGAAAGTATGCTGGATCTCCTGTCCCGTGCCCAATGGACACCCCCCCACACACACCCAATGATCAGGGAGGGATTTGGGTCTTCTTCAGGTGGTGGGGTGGGGGCTGATGCTCATCCTTCTCCGTCTCTGGTTGGTTGGTCCTTTTGCAAAAGAGAAATGGAGGAGGAAGAAAGATGACAGGAAAAAAAGGAGGATAGGGAGATATGCAGAATGCAGGGAGAAAGAAGGGGAGAAATGCTTGATAAGGAGACAGTAGCTGCCTTGGCTCATTCTGCTAACCATCTCAAATAAGCCACACTTCGTTTTAATCAGGTTTGCTGAGTAGGAGGTGGTGGATGCCTGGTGTTCCCTCCGAAAATTCCCAAGCAAAGCAACCTAAAACTAAGGAGAAATTTCCTAACCGTGAGAATAATTAACCAGTGGAATGGTTTGACACCTTAAGTTCTGAGTGCTCCATCACTGGAGGCTTTTAAGAAGAGACTGGACAGCCACTTGCCAGAAATGGCATAGGCAGGGTCTCCTGCTTGTGCCAGGGATTGGACTAGAAGACCTCCAAGGTCCCTTCTGGTGGTGGTGGTGGGGTGTGATGATGATGATGATAAGGATATCACGATTTATCTGAAATGGTATAGCCTTTCCTGCCTCAGCAGGGGGTTGGACTAGAAGACCTCCAAGGTCCCTTTCCAACTAAGTTATTTTGAAGCATGGAACGGCTCCGCTTCAAGCGTGAACTCCCCCTTCCCGCCCCCACTCCCAAAACAGGCTGGCCGCAAAGGCAGGAGGACAGCGGCACCCCCACTGGCGCTTTCCCCAAGCCGCCAGACCACCTCACCCATCATCCACGGGAATAGCAGCGCTTCGCAGAACACCACACCCCCATCCCTATCCTCCTCTGCTCTTTCACTTGCAAACTGGCCATCACCGCCCCGCAGCGCTTGGCAAGGTTCAAATAGCGGGACCACCAGCCGGGCGGGGAGGCTCTTATTAAAACGGAGCCTTCAACAAGCACCTGCCCATTCCCGTTTAGAGGTGGACTTCGGGGCCGGGCACTGACGTCACCCCTCTTACCTGCTCGCTCGTTCGGCGCTGCAGCAGGAGCAGCGGCGGCAGCTCATCGCTGGGGCTTCGCGCTAATTGCTTTGCAAGGATCTCGGATCGCGCTACTCTCGCCTCCGCTCCCCCGCCGCCGCCGCCGCGATGTCTCTCCTGCTGGAGACGGTGGGTTTCTTCCTGAGCATCGTCGGGTGGGCGCTGCTGGCCGTCACCCTCTTCAACAGCTACTGGAAGGTATCCAGCGTCTCAGGCAACATCATCACCACCTCTACCATCTTCGAGAACCTGTGGCAGAGCTGCGCCACCGACTCCACCGGCGTCTACAACTGCTGGGAGTTCCAGTCGCTGCTCGAACTGCCAGGTGAGCGGTGGGTGTGGGAAAGTGGTGGGAACCTGGCCGGGGAGGATTGGCGACCCTCCCCCCCCCGGAAGGATCTCCCCGGGGAAGGGAACGAGGGCGTTTGTAGTCCGGTGCTCCCCAAAGCCATTGGAATTTAAAAAGAATAAAGAAACATTTTGAGCCATATTGTTTTACCTGTTAGTTTTTTCTATTCTGTTGTATTTACACCACAAAACTAAACTTTAGCTGCAACTTCTAGATTCCAGACTGACCCACCCAATTCATGCATTCATGAAAATGTGTGGCTTCTTTGATTTTAGCTTAGTGCAGTCTGGACTAAGATGTCAGACACAATGTAGGGTCTCCTGCTTAGGCGGGGGATTGGACTAGATGTCCTTCAAACTCTGATTATCTGTATCGATTTGGAAAGGAACCCGGGGATCGAATCGAATCGCTTGCCCGGAATGCTGATCTTCCCCAGCCGTCGATTGGAGCGAGCAAAGGTGCACCTTTCCCGCGCTCGGAGCCCGATCGGGGAATCCAGGTTGATTCCCAGATCTCGAGCCGGCTTTAGGGAATCCTTTTTTCTTTTTCTTTTTTTTTGGGGGGGGGGCTCCCCTAGGTAGCTGGAGTTTCCCGGACTAGCCCTTCCAGAGATACCCATCGTTCTTGTGTAGCTCCAGAACGAGTTTGTCGTCCAGGCGCTCTGGAGGAATCCGGGCTGTTGGATTGAGCCTTTGCCTTTTCTTTGCCTTCGGAAGTTGTGGGAGCTGAATTCATCACTGGAAGATTTCAAGAAGAGATTGGACTGCCATCGGTCAGAAATGGTGTAAGGTCTCCTGCTTGGACTGGGGCTGGGGGCTGGACTAGATAACCTCCAAGTTCCAACTCTGTTCATCTGTACCCCCATTCAAACCGCGTCTCTTCCCCGCTGTACCTCAGTGGCGCTGAGTTGTGGAGAATTCTGGGAGTTGAAGTCCACAAGTTTTTTTAAAAAGTTCAAGTTTGAAATAACGCTGCTTGGGCGTGCAGCAAACAGGTGGCTTCGATGCCATTTATTTAAATCAGGGGTCTCCAAACTTGGCAACTTTAAGACTTGTGGACTTCAATTCCCAGAGCTGAAGTCCATAAGTCTTAAAGTTACCAAGTTTGGAGAGCCCTGATTTAAATCGTATTCCGACTCCTGCAAATAAATCTCTTGCAAGCAACCGCAGAACAGTCTTTTACCGCTCAATTAATACGAGCAATTCAGAGCGTGCCACCTTATTTTATTGTAAGCCTGAACTGCAAATCCTTGAGTCTCTCTATTAAGGTGTATTTTTACCCCGTGCCCTTTATCCTGCCTACCTGTGCAACAGGTAGAAATGCAGCAAATGTTTTGCTAGGAACCCAATGGGAAATCCCCCTTCCATGCCTAATGATGATCCATTGGTGTAGACATATTTCTTTGGTCATCTAGAGACAAAGCTGCTTAAATTTATTTTATTTTTTGGTCCAGAGTTGATTTTCCATGCCAAGGTCAACTTCTTAAAATCAGGCAAGATATTTTTCTAAGGGCTAAAATAGCTTTTTCCACGGCTGCGAGCAATCCATATATCCCTTGCTTATTTCTCTCAAAGCCAACAGGGGGCAGCAACGAACAATTATCTATCGTGGGGTGGGAAACCTATTAAGATTAGAAATAGCTGTAAAAGGAGGATTCGATCCCGATATAAAAACAATTATAGGCCGATTTCACTGTTAAGCACCGACTACAAAATATTTACTTCTATTATAGCAAGCAGACTAAAAAGAATGCTAAACGCACATATACATGAAGACCAAAATGGATTTCTCCCGACCAGACAAATTAGGAACAATTTAAGAACAGTACTAGATGTCTTAGAATTTTATGAAGCTTACCCAGAAAAACAAATTGCACGTATGTTTTTAGATGCAGAGAAGGCCTTCGACAATTTTAATTGGCAATTTTAATCAAAAAAATTTATAATATGAATTTAGGCACCAAATTTGAAAATATTATAACAACTATTTATGATACACAACAAGCTAATATTATAATAAACGGGAAATATACCCGCTCAATAAAAATAGAAAAAGGAGTCAGACAGGGCTGCCCACTCTCACCCCTGCTCTTCATATTATCATTAGAAACATTATTAATGCGAATTAGACAGAACCCAGATATAAAAGGATTAAAGGTTAAGAAAGAAGAATATAAGTTGCAAGCATTTGCGGACAATATGATTTTTTTCATTGAGGAACCAATAGAAAGAGGACAAAAATTGATGAATGAATTAGAACAATTTGGAGCAGTAGCAGGACTCAAAATTAATAGGAAGAAAACTAAACTAATGACTAAAAATTTAACAGGAAAACAGAAAATAGAGTTAGAAGAAGTTATGGAAATGCAAGTGACAAAGAAAGTTAAATACCTAGGAATATGGCTGACAGCACATTGTAAGACACTTAAGGAAAATAATTATGTTAAATTGATGCAACAGGTAAAGAAGGATTTAGAATCATGGGGTAAGTTGCAACTTTCATTATTAGGTAGGATCGCTGCCATTAAAATGAATATTCTTCCAAAATTTCTATATCTATTTCAGACGATCCCAATTAAAGTATTCAATTTTTTTTTGAAGAACTCAACAAAATAACTCTTAAATTTATTTGGCAAGGAAAAAAACCTAGAGTAAATTTAAAGGCAATGCAGGATATGAAGAGCAGGGGAGGACTGGCACTTCCAAATTGGGAGTTGTATTATATTGCTGCCTCTTTAGTATGGTTGAAGGAATGGGTGAATTTAACTAACAAGAGAATATTATTTTTAGAAGGCCATGATTTGCAGAGGCGGTGGCATGCTTTTTTATGGGATGTAGGGAAAACTAGTCAAAAATACTTCCACAGACATCTAATCAGAGACTCATTATTAATTAATTGGAAGAAAATACGGAAAAAACACTATTTAAAAGTACCAATCTGGATTTCAACAATGGAGGTGATGATCCACCCAAACAATCTGGATATCAGTAAAATGATTAAATATAAGGATCTATTGGATACACAAGGAAATTTGAAATCGAGGCAAGAACTTCAAGAGTGAGGACAAAAAATTGATCAGTGGGCATACCTTCAAATTCAAAGTAGATACAAACAGAACAAGAAAGAATTCAGAATCAACAATAAACTCCAGCAATTAGATAAAATTTTATTAGGATCAGGCAAAAAAATATAACAAAATTTTATAATTATTTATTAGAAGTCGAATTAGAAGAAGAAATTGTAAAAAGGAACATGATTGTCTGGAGTAGGAATGTAGGATGTAGCATCACCTTAACAGAATGGGAAAAGGTCTGGGGTAGAAACAATAAGATCACAAAATCGGTAGCATATAAAGAAAATGCCTATAAAATGTTTTATAGATGGCACCTTCCTCCTTCGAGATTAACGAAGATGCACCCCAATATGAGTCCGAATTGCTGGAAATGCAAAAAAAAAAAAAGAGGGAACTTTTTTCCATATGTGGTGGTCCTGTACAGAAGCACAAAAATATTGGCAGAAAATTAAAATTTGGCTGGAAGAAATGACAAAAGAGCAGATAGAATACAAACCAGAGTCCTTTTTGTTAGGGATCTTTGACAAACAAATATCAAAAAAAGCGAAATACATAATAATACACATTTTGACAGTGGCCAGATTAGCCTTTGCCCAATGTTGGAAGCAGCCTCAGGTTCCATCAGAGGAAATAATCATTCAAAAAATCTCAAGCTGTGCAGAAATGGACAAATTAACTCTGGCACTAAAAAATAAAGACACCTCAATATACTACAATAGCTGAAACTGCTGGTACAAATGGATAGACCAAAGATAGATTTTACACTATAAGGCAAAAGAGGATAGGATAAACCCATAGCAGCGATATACAGATATATGTAAAGATTAGGTGTGTGTATATGGCATAAATTAAGGGTTAAAAAAAAAAGAGATCTTACAAACTGTTGAAGATGAGAATGTTTTTAATTGCTTTCTATTTTTTCTTTCTATTTTCTTTTCCTTCTTTTCTTTTCTTTCATCTGTGTATGTGTTGTTGATTTGTTTTAATTGTAAAATTAATAAAATTTATTTATTAAAAAAAAAGATTAGAAATAGCTGTAAACATATTTTTGGCCGTAATAGCCGTTCTCGATGCCAGCCAAGGCTATATTTTAGTCAGTGTGCACATCGATATCCTGGTAAGTTGTTTGCGGAACCAATTGCAGAGGTTCAAACAGCCTCTGGGAAAAGTTGTGAGATTCTCACCCACTGTTGCCAACTTTTCACAGCCTGTTCCCTTTGCAACTTTGCATGGCTGAGCGATTGGCTTGTAGCTTTTGCACAAATGGGGGGTGGTGGGAAATATGGCTGGTTCGGTTTCGCCTAAGTGTGTTATTTGAACTTAGCCAGCCTGGTTTGTAAACCATAGCTGGATGGTTTTAGTGTCTCGTGGGAAGCCAGCACACCACGGTCAAAGCCACTGGTAGTGAAATTCCTCAGTTCACGACCAGAATTGAGCCCAACATTTCTGTTGCTAAGTGAGACGGTAATAAGTGAGTTTTGTCCCATTTTACAACCTTGTTTGCCACAGGTGTGCAGTGAATCGCTGCGGTGGTTACCTTAATAAACACCAAGTGTGGTGGTCACTTAATGACAGTTGTTAAGTGAATCTGGCAAAACCTGTTGATTTTGCATGTTAGAAGTTTGCAAAGGGGGATCACATGACCACCATAAAGATGATTTAAAAGTAGCTGAATTTTGATCATGTGACCCTAGGGATGCTGCAATGGTTGTAAGTGTGAAAAACACACATAAGTCATTTTTTTCAGTGCCATTGTCACTTCAAATGGCCGTTAAACAAACTGTTTTAAGTCAAGGACTACCTGTACAATGAAGTCATCCAGAGAATAGCAATAACAACAGCACTTAGACTTATATACCGCTTTATAGTGCTTTCCCGCCCTCTCAAAGTGGTTTACAGACTC